TACGAAATGTTCGGCCTTTAAGAATGCTTACCTCAGAAATTCTTTACCCTCACGTTGGAGTACTATCCAATAGCTATTCCTTAGGGCAGCGTCTATAATGCCTAGCCATAAAGAACTACCGAGACAATGGGTCGGAAAGTGGGTGCCTCCAATGCGTATTTTATAGAATTTGGCTTTATTTCCATGTTTCGGACTCAATTTTCGTCCTCTAGGAATGCTTACCACAGAAATTGTTTGGCCCCTCGTTGTAGTACTATCCAAAAGCTATTTATTAGAGCAGAATCTATAATCCCTTGTCATACAGAACTGTCGAGGCAATGGTTTTGAACAAGTGGGTGACCCCAGAGCATATTTTATCAAATATGACTTTTTTCCCGTGTTTCGGACGAAATTTTCGGCCTTTAAGAATGCTCACCCCAGAAATTCTTTACCCTCACATTGTAGTACTATCCAATAGCTTTTACTTAGGGCAGCGTCTATAATGCCTAGCCACAAAGAACTACCGAGACAATGGGTCGGGAAGTGGGTGCCTCCAATGCGTATTTTATAGAATTTGGCTTTATTTCCATGTTTCGGACGCAATTTTCGTCCTCTAGGAATGCTTATCCCAGAAATTCTTTGGCCCCTCATTGTAGTACTATCCAAAAGCTATTTATAAAAGTAGAATCTATAATCCCTAGCCATACAGAACTGCCGAGGCAATGGTTTTGAACAAGTGGGTGACCCCAGAGCATATTTTATCAAATATGACTTTTTTCCCGTATTACGGTCGAAATTTTCGACATTTAAGAATGCTTACCCAAGACATTCTATACCCTCACGTTGTAGTACTATCCAATAACTATTCCTTATAGCAGTGTCTATAATGCCTAGCCATAAAGAACTACCGAGACAATGGGTCGGAAAGTGGGTGCCCCCAATGCGTATTTTATCGAATCTGGCTTTATTTCCATGTTTCGGACGAAATTTTCGTCCTCTAGGAATGCTTACCCCAGAAAAACTGATAATATGTATAAATCTCATCTGAACCCATTTTCTCAGTCACGGTCACATATTATGTTCATGATCTATCATTTTTCTGTCAAGAATCATGTGCTTGTTCATGGACTAATGATTAAGAAGAAACCTAGGTGAAGGGAGAACACGATATAACAGGCCTACAGAGGATTAAGAGGAAACCTACGTTAAGGGAGAACACGATATACCAGGCCTACAGAGGATTAAGAGGAGACATAGCTGAAGGAAGAACACGACAAAATAGGCCTACAGAGGATTACGAGGCTAGACATAGGTTGAGGAAGAACACGACATAACAGGCCTAGCGGATTAAGAGGAGACCTAGGTTATGGAAGAACACGACATAACAGGCCTAGCGGATTAAGAGGACACCTATGTGAAGGGAGAACACGACATAACAGGCCTACAGAGGATTAAGATGAGACCTAGGTTAAGGAGAGAAAACGACATAACAGGCCTACAGAGGACTAAGAGGAGACCTAGGTTAAAAGACAACACGACATTAAAGGCCTACAGAGGATTAAGAGGTTAGACATTTTTGAAGGGGGGAACATAACTGGTCAACAGAGGTAAAACGATACACCTACATGTAGGTAAAGGGAGAGCTTAAAAAAGCCAACAGAGGATTGAGATGTTAGACCTAAATGTAAAGGGGGAGCTTAAAAAGCCAACAGAGGATTGAGATGTTAGACCTATATGTAAAGGGGGAGCTTAAAAAGCCAACAGAGGATTGTGATGTTAGACCTATATGTAAAGGGGGAGCTTAGAAAGCCAACAGAGGATTGTGATGTTAGACCTATATGTAAAGGGGGAGCTTAGAAAGCCAACAGAAGATGTAGATGTTAGACCTAGGTGAGGAGAGAACATAAAAGGCTAACACAGGATTTATAGGTTATAACTTGGTAGAGTAAATTTAAAACGGAAAGTCAATAATCAAATGGCAAAATTAAAAAGCTCGAAACATATGAAACGAATGGATAACATCTGTCATATACCTGACTTGGTACAGTCATGAAAATTGTGGATTAGACCTGTTTTCATAGCTAGCTAAACCTCCCACTTGTATGACAGTTGCAACAAATTCCATTATATTGACAACAATATGTGAACAAAACAAACAGACACAATAGGTTAAAATGTCTGAAATAGGGGTACAGCAGTAAACATTGTGTTATAATCTTAATCACTATAAAAACAAACAAATATACGAACACGACAAAAAAAGGCTTACAGAGGATGAAGATGTTAGACCTAGATGAGGAGAGAACACGACATGAAAGGCCAACAGAGGATGAAGATGTTAGACCTAGGTGAGCAGAGATCACGACAAAAAAGGCCTACAGAGGATGAAGATTTTAGACCAAGGTGAGGAGAGAACACGACATAAAAGGCCTACAGAGGATGTAGATGTTAGACCTAGGTGAGGAGAGAACACAACATAACAGGCCTACAGAGGATGAAGATGTTAGACCTAGATGAGGAGAGACCACGACATAAAAAGTCTACAGAGGATGAAGATATTAGACCTAGGTTGGGAGAGAACAAGACATAACAGGCCTACAGAGAATGAAGATGTTCGACCTAGGTGAGGAGAGAACACGACAAAAAAGGCCTACAGAGGATGAAGATTCTAGACCTAAGTAAAGAGAGAACACGACATAAAAGGCCTATAGAGGATGAAGATGTTAGACCTAGGTGAGGAGAGAAGACGACATAAAAGGCCTACAGAGTATGAAGATGTTAGTCCTAGGCGAGGAGAGAACACAACATAAAAGGCCTACGGAGGATGAAGATGTTAGACCTAGGTGAGGAGAGAATACGACAGAAAAGGCCTACAGAGGATAAAGATGTAAGACCTAGGTGAGGAGAGCACACGACAAAAAAAGCCTACAGAGGATGAAGATGTTAGACCTAGGTGAGGAGAGAACACGACATAAAAGATCGACAGAGAATGAAGATGTTAGACCTAGGTGAGGAGAGAACACGACATAAAAGGCCTACAGAGGATTAAGAGGAGACCTAGGTTAAGGGACAATACGACATTAAAGGCCTACAGATGATTAAGAGGTTAGACATATTTAAAGGGGGGACATAACTGGTCAACAGAGGATTACAACAATACACATACATGTAGGTAAAGGGGGAACATAAAAGGCCAACAGAGGATTAAAACGATACACCTACATGTAGGTAAAGGAGGAGCTTAAAAAGCCAACAGAGGATTGAGATGTTAGACCTATATGTAATGGGGGATCTTAGAAAGCCAACAGAAGATTGAGATGTTAAACCTAGGTAAAGGGGGATCATAAAAGGCTAACACAGGATTTATAGGTTAGACCTTGGTGGATGAACAAGTAAAATAACAACATTACCGAACTACGAGGAAAATGTATCTTACTAGCAAGTTTCATTATGTTTCAGACAGAAATCCATACCCATTGTTCAAGGAAACCTCATACTCCCTAAACCAAAAAAATAGAATTGTTCAAGAAATCTTTTATGTATTCATGTATTCTGGACTATTCTTGTGGAATAATTTGCCAATATCGTTAAGAAATATAACAAATGTTAATTCTTTCAAATACAAAATAACAGATCATTTATTGAAATGAACTTGTTGAAAAAATATTAGATATTGACTATTTCATCATGTTTATTTTTTCATAACATGTTTTACCAAGCTGTATTGAACATTATCATCATACTTGACTTTTATACTAATGTATGCCATGTATATGTTTGCATTTTTGTTCATGCTTTTTCTATGATGAGGGCCTCGGGGGAGATAAGTTATATAGCTAACTGTGTAACCCTCTTAAATGAAGTATTGCTAAAGCTTTTTCTACACCCGTGATGATTTTAAAAGATATTGGATATTTAATTGACAACATATTTGTTGCGATCGATGGACTAAAATATCAACAAACAGAATTAATAAAACCATTCTCCAGAATTAAACGAAAACACATATTGCAAAATGTGCTACAATGTACGTTCAATTTCAGATATACTGATGCTGTCCTGTTTCTCAAAACCTATATTTGAGTGAGTGCTTGCATCTCATAAAACCAAGTGAACTATGCCCATATCTGACTGCTCACTGAAACACGCTATAAACTCCCATAAATATTGGTGTACATGTACGTAAGTGTGATATAGTCCGGCTTACATGATTAAAAGTGTGTACGTCTGAAGCGCTTTTCGTCTACAAAAGACACAAAATAGTCAAAAGGTGAAATAAAGTACAAAGTTGAATAGCATTTAAAAAAGGTGGTTGCTATTTTTCCGGCTTGCTCGAAAAAAGCAAAACATGTCAGTTCTGTCTTGAAGAAAAGCTTTGCATTGCTATTATTGATGTTTTCTGGCCATACATAACAATGACGAATTGATATGCTTTTGTCTAAGTGGTTATTATAGCATCGTAAAAAAAAAAATCAAATCAAAAACAGAATTACTATGGGAATACACTCCTCAAAACTTCAATCTAGTTTTCTACTGGCTGTTCTTTGGAACAACCTAATTCTCCTTAACTATATCAGTTTGTCAAGAGAGATCAAAAGATATGTCAACATCGGTATGCAGCAAAGAAACTTTTGACTTTATATCACTTTGCAAAAAAGTTTACATTCACTAAAACCAATGAAAATGCAAATACATGTACTTCATAATAATATAGTATATTCAGATGTTGTTCTTGCTTCTAAGGGAATGGGGGTTCAAAAATGACAAACCTCTTTTTACGTTCTTTCTATGAAATTACTGTAAGGTTAGGAGTCATGCCAGTGACTCATGGCTTCAATGAATATCTATGATTCCTAAAGAAGATCCCGAATTTAAGATTTCCTTGAAGTTTGGTTTCAATGAAGTCGTCAAATGATTTTTCACGATTTTTTTCATTTGAAATGTGCGAATAGTTTTTAAACAGAAAATAAGAGAAAAGGGTAGGCACATGTAAAACGCTCAAAAGAAGATTGTGTTTAAAATAGCAAAGCATGATAATTTTTATTGAGAACATAACTACAACAGAATAACATTTAAATAAAAGAGGGGTTTCCCCTCAAGCCGGGTAAATTTTCCCAGTCAGGGCATTTCAGTGCATGTTCATAGATCTCCATTAAAGTAGAACTTAAAAATCACGCAGTCAAGGATAATCTCATTAAGTCGTTTTCCTGTAAATCGTTTCTTTTATGTGATTTGTCTCTATTGATACAGGTAGAGGAAATTTGTGTTTAAAGCAACCAAATTCTCTGTAATTTTCATAAGGACAAAAAGCCATCCTTAAATATAAAATTATTTATATATTGAATATATATTCAATTCTCCAAACGTCCTTTGCATTTGCGCGTTTGAAATCCTTCATCACACCAACGAAATTGTCCACGTCACAAGACATTGCTCTTGATATTGAACATTTGCTCATGTGCAAACGGATGGCCTGGAGATAGAAATTGTTACCTATTCTTCCGGCTAGCCGGAACAGTACACACTCCGTTTAAAAAATTGTATACCAAATAGAGAAAACATGACAGCATGGTGAAGCTTTTAAGGAATGAACATGACTAGTGGTTGATACTTTATAGTTAGGAAGAAAATGTTACAGAACATATATAAACATAAGCAAATAATAAATATCATATACAAGTAGTACATATGTCAATATTAAATACACTGAAAAAAACGATCATATCTTTATCCTACAATTGGAAGGTTTACATAGATATAAATCCAGGTTAAACTATCCTTTTTATCGGAAAATGCCTGTACCAAGTCAGGATTATAGCAGTTGTGTTTCACTTGTTCCGTTAATGATAACATTTGATTTTGTTAAACTATATAACATCGATGGGTAATTATAAAAGATGGGGTTGTATCAATATTAGCCGGGACAACACACAGCCTTCAAGGATAGACAGATGTCTTTACACGATTACAAGCTTTAATCACCTCGGGTCTATACAAGTTGTGAGTAAATTAAACTGCAAATAATTCAATTTTAAAATACAAATAAACAGTCAGATAAGACATACGACAACCACTGTGGACAGGTGGAAGTATGTGCACCTCTCAACAAGAGGGGCGTGGTAAGCATTCAGCATATATTTATTGACTACTTGTCGTGCATGTATTGATTACCGGTATGTAAAGCTCGTACTAGATACCACAACTTCGTGTTGTACATTTATTTAATTAATGAACCAACAATGTTATTTGTAGGTCATCCGTGCATTTGTTTAATGAACAGCATTGACATGTTTAAGTTATGGCCAGTATATCACTAGATTCAGCTCTCTTGTGAAGATAAGTGTAATGTGCCTTGCTCCTTGATTCTTTTTTTGGGAAATTTTAGCTTTTTAAATGGACAAATTACATTTACACATACATTGTTAAATAAAGGCAACAGTAGTATACCGCTGTTCAATAAGACGTTAAGTAAGATAGAAGCAGCATTCACATGATATCCGTTATAACTGTCAGCATTAGGTATTTCTGATAATTTACATGGACTGTTTAAGTTGTGAGCTTTTGCTTGTTATCTAAAGATGCACACGCCATTCATAGAACCATGTCGTAGGTCGAATATGTGCTTCTAAGAAACTGGCTCACAAATCTTATTTGAACATTGTATAAATAATATAACTGTGACCATATATTATTTTTGTTTGTTCTTGATGTCTGTCTGAAATTCTTCGAGATGGTGGTAACTCTGGTACACAGTATAATATTGAACATTTTGAGAATGACATAGGTTAATCACTATCATGCACATTACACACAGAATACACAAATTTACAATACTAAATTTCTAAATAAATATGGATTCCACAACTTCAACAAGTGTGTTACGATATTTCTTCACTCGAGACAGTTAAATTTTAATATTTAGCGCGAGGTTTGCCGAACTTTTTAAATAATTAGAATTTTACTGTTGAAAGTGGGGAACTATAAGTAAATATTGTCAATACCATACAAAACCACGAGTTATAGTGGTGAAATCTGTTTCTTTAATGATTTTTATCCTTCCTTTTAAAAGATTTGCAGAAAGTTGTGTTCTTTATATGTGACGTCATTAGGCATGGTCGCCTTTTTTTCATGAAGTCACAATAGGAAATTCAGAAGAAACCAAGAAAATTAGATTTCATTTGCCGAGAATAAATATTTCACTAGTGAGGAGAAATATTTTTCTCACACCGATCAAGAAATGTTATATTAAAATAGCAGAAAAATTAGAGAATAAGTTATATACAACAGAGAATAAATGTAATCCTTATTCAAATTATATTCAAGTTAATAACAAAGGATAAAACATGTATGTGTGAGCCAAGGCTCCGTGTTGAAGGCCGTACTTTGACTTATAATGGTTGACTTTTTACAAATTGTGATTTGGATTGAGAGTTGTCTCATTGGCATTCATACCACATCTTCTTATATCTATGAATATTTCAAACAAAGTATAACTTTTATAAAAATGAAAATATAAGGTCTTGGTTCAAATAAGGAGGTACTGATATAAACATAAAAATGTAAGCTCCTGATTGTAATAATGTATAAGATATATACAACAGAATGTCAATATAGGGTCCAGATTCACATTAGGTATCATGTACATACAAAGAAACTTAATTGCAAGGTTCTTATGCATATAATGAAAAACTTATAAAAAAAAGATAGCAATGCATATACATGTAAGGTCCCAAATTCAAAAAAAGAATAACTTATATACATATGCAATTGAATACATGGCATACACATGTGTTGTCCCCGTTCAAATACAGAATAACTTATATACAAATGTAAATGAATGCATGGCATACATATGTGTGGTCCCCGTTCAAATAAAGAATAACTTATAAACAAAGCCAAATGAATGCATTGCATACAAATATTTGGTCCCCATTCAAATAAAGGATAACTTTTTTACACAGTCATATTCATGCATTGCATACACATGTACGGTCCCTATTCAAATAAAGAATATCTTATACACAAACGAATATGAATGATTGACGTACACATGTATAGTTCCCATTCAAATAAAGAATATCCTAAATACAAAGACATTAAAAAAAACAAGGCTTCGATACAAAAAAAAAAATAACTCATGCACTTTTTTGCAATTATAATGAAAAGCTCATACACAAAAACATATAAATTGAAGGTCAATACTGCAATACCGAACTAATTATATACATAATATGTAAATGAACAAAAATTATAATTCATAATGAATAACTAAAAGCAAAGAAAAACACATAAAACATTTTGATTAAAATGAAGAATAACTTGCATACAATCAACATACATATAAGGTTCGTGCTGTTTCAAACAATGAATAACTTATAACATAAACAATAAATGAGTGAGCATATGGATCATTTATTCAGTTGTTATTGCTTGTCGAGAAAATCATAGTTCTTCAATGCAGTCTAAAGGTATAAGCACACACATGCACGGTCCCTATTCAAAAAAAGAATAACTTATATACAAAAAATATGAATGATTGACGTACACATGTATAGTCCCCATTCAAATAAAGAATATCCTAAATACAAAGACATTAAAAGAACAAGGCTTCGATACAAAAAATAAATGACTCATGCACTTTTTGCAATTATAATGAAAAGCTCATAAACAATAACATATAAATTGAAGGTCCATATTGCAATACCGAACTAATTATATACATGATATGTAAATGAACAAAAATTATAATTCATAATGAATAACTAAAAGCAAAGGAAAACACATAAAACATTTTGATTCAAATAAAGAATAACTTGCATACAATCAACATACATATAAGGTTCGTGCTATTTCAAACAATGAATAACTTATAACATAAACAATAAATGAGTGAGCATATGGATCATTTATTCAGTTGTTATTGCTTGTCGACAAAATCATAGTTCTTCAATGCAGTCTAAAGATATAAGCACAGTACCGTGTGTGTTGTGATTCAATCTATCTTAATTAAACAGGTTGATTGACTGAGTTGAAATCTACCTTAATCGGTTGAGAGAAAAACATCCGGGTTACAAACTAAAACCGCGGGAAACACATCAACTAACAACTGCTATATTCCGGACATGGTACAGGACATTTAAAAAAAAATTGTTGGTTGAACCTAGTTTTATGGCTAGCCAAACTTCCCGCTTATATGGCTATGTTAAAAAATATCGCTAAAATGACAACACTACGTGACAGGAATACAGTACAAACAAACGCAAGAACACTCAACAGAGAGAAAGGCATACATAAATAATATAATAGTACATTACAACATGTAAACCGCAGAATAACAACGGACATCTTTCTTTAACGACAGCACAGGTACCACAAACAGTGACGTATTTAAACTCATTAAATATATATGCTTGTTAGTATTTTTGATTTGTTATCACAAACTTAAGTTCCATTTTCACAAATATCACAAATATCATACAGACCACATTTAATCCTTTAAGGTTTCAACTCATCAGGCATAATTGACCTTAGGTGGATTTTAATATTTTTATGTCGGTTTGGTCATATAGATCTTTAACTGTTTCGGTTCTTATACATCCTTGGTTTTCAAATATTCGACTTTGAGCGTGCCTGATCAAAGTACAGCCGAAAAAAGCGCTTCGGACGCATGTATAACTTGTTGTTTTTACTTTCATAGGATAACTAGATAAGCGTCATCTGTTTAAATTTACTCTGTGTGTCTGTGGACAGTTTTCATGATTCCTTGACAAATTATGCGTCCCGTGACATATTTAAGTCTCATGGCGAAGAACAACGTACAACTCTAATCTATCATACTATGTATGACTGACAAAGGTTACTATACAAAGAGCACAGTTTAAAAAAATCTTATGTCCAGCCAGTTTCGTTTCTTATTTCGGAAAAGACATTTTTCGTGTAGCTCTGACAGTTGATAAAACATACTTTCCGAAAGTTTATAACCAACAAATACATGTACGATGAAGTATTTGTAAATTTGAAAGTGTATGGGACATTGATGTTGAAATATAACCCTCGTTCACTTCTTCAACAAGCTTTACATATAAAAAAGAATGTTGCAATGATTTATCATTCACAGTTTAACAAGAGTGCACACTCTATATTTTGCCGGTTTTACTAAAGACGCCTGCATTTTACGTTGACAAAAAAAGTTAAGACACCACTTGATAAATTACATACTCTTAAATATTATCTGTATGTACTTTCAACTAATCATGATAAATGTTACATGTGTTAGTTGCAAAAAAGCTACGTCTATTAATAAGCACCAAGTAAAGTGACAATGTAATTCATGTGTAACAAAAACAAAATATACTGCAAAATATATATACAATATTATTTAGTTCACGCTCCTATTTACAATGGTTGCAATATAAGATATTTGTCAAAGAGACATGTAAAAACGCACACAAAATAAGCAATAAACCTGAATTTCGCATCAGTTGGGTGAGTTCTTCATCAGTTAATAGAAATAAAAGTTGCATCTGGTGGTCTTGTTTGTCGGCAATAAAATAACAAATAGCCTCTGGTTGTCTTGTTTTTAATCATTTAGAATAAAAAAGTGCATCTAGTAGCCTAACTTTTCAGCAATAGAAGTAAAAATTGCATGTGGTGGTGTTGTCTTTTAGAATTAAAATGTGCCTCCGGTGTCAAAGTCTTCGTCGACGAACTCTAAAGATTGCCCCTGATGGTTAAGTTCTTCATCCATAAGAATAAAATATTGCCCCTGGTGGTTGAGTTCTTCGTTCATAAGAATAAAAGATTACCCCTGGTGGTTGAGTTCATGAGATAAAAAGATTTCCCTTGGTGGTTGAGTTTTTCGTCCATAAGAATACAAAATTGCCCCTTGTTGTTGATTCTTCTTCGTCCAGTAGAATTCCAAATTTCCTTTGGTGGTTGAGTTTTTCATCCATCAAAAATAAAAGATTACCCCTAGTGGTTGAGTTTGTCATCCATAAGAATAAAACAACACCTTCTTTGGCTGTGTATTATCTATTTGAATTAAAAAGTGTTTGTCTGATGTTAATGTTCTTCTTCAATCAGAACTGAAGATTGCCTCTGATGGTAAAATTCTTTATCTCATCAAATGGACATCATTTCTAGAGAACCATGCAATACAAAGCGTCAAAATATACCAAGGAAACATTAAAATCACACACGTCGTAGTCAAACTGACAACACCACTACAAAAAATATAAACCGCAAGAAAACTGAATATGTCCTAATACACAACATAACATGCTAAAGATTGAGACACAAGAACACACAACTTCCTGTCAGGTTCTTGTTGAAATATTTACAGCAGGTGTAGGATTTGACAGATTTGTGTACTGTACAACCAATGGTTTCACGTTTGCCATCTGATATATAACAAATAATGATCATTAACAAATGCTTTTCACATGATTAATTTCTGACAGATAAAAAACAATTCCTTTGTACACTCAGAGAAGAATAATGAAAAAATCCCCCGATCAAAATTTGCCGTACATCCCCTGCTGTCTAAGATTTCCGAAGGCAGACATTCTTTTCATTTGATTTAAACAGCATAAAAGAGAACATTAAACAAGACCTTTCCTAAATAATTTCTACCGATTTTGGATCGAATTGCATGGTCCAATAGTTTCAGAAAGGACACAAAGGGATAACACTGGCTCGTATTAATTTAAACTGAATATAGCATTAAACAATAAGTTCTCTCCTTGGAAGATTTTTTCTTCTGCCAAGCTATCTGCACCTTAGAGTATGTATTGTAACCTTCATTGTAAAAGGTTTAAATATAACAGTAAACAGTTTCGGTCATACTATCAACACCTTAGTGTCTATGTCCTTCACAGTATTAGGTTTCTGCCACACTATCTGTGGAAAGGTCAAACATCACTGGTATTCATGTTTGATTTTAAGTCGCTTGCATCTGTTGGCTTTCTTAGGTATCAGACATACTGCTAACATGTCTATTAATTCTGCCCGAAAACTTCACATTTGATATATGTTATGTTATATAACTACACTTAAATAATCTAATTTCATAAACCTTAAAGCTGAAATTCAATAACTTACAAACTGAAATAAATTTTAAATGATCTTTGCAAATATAAAAAAAAACAAAAAACAAATGACTACAATAAAAAATATACTCTTCCCAGAATTTTGGTCAATATGATAAGTTACAGGTAACATAAATATACAGGTAAACACTATTATAAAAAATTAGCAACTAATTAAAATACCTTTTAAATTCTACCATGAGAGCTCGACATTATAGCTATTATAAATAAATATTTCAAATTTTCCTATTATCAGTTGTTAACCAAAAATACATAATATTAGGATACAAATATTGGGGTAAAATGAAATAATGAATGGGTAGTACATGTATATAGATCCAAATTTAATAAGGTTATATTGATTTGGTTAATTTATGTACGTCTTCTTCCAATCATCATCTTCTCTGTTCATGGTGAGATGTTGACAAAAAAGACTTTGACGATATTTTGTGGTTTTTGTTTCAGGTATTTTATCTTGTCTCTGTATAAATTAAAAGCTAACCAGTTACTGTTTTTCATTTTTCGAAATAGTGAACAAGTCATATCCTTTTAAATATTATATAATAATGGATAATGAATGAGATGATATAATGTTATCAATGCTGATCCTTTCAGAATACCTTAGTTTACCACTGGATAATGAATTGTATAGTATAATGTAATAAAAGATTGTCTTTCAAGAAAGCTTTAGTACACCACTGAATAATGAATGAAATAATATAATGTAATCAATGCTGACCCTTCCAGATCACCTCAGTACACCACTTGATGATAAATGGAATGATATATTGTAATCAATGCAGACCCTTCCGGAACACCTTAGTACACCACTGGATAATGAATGGAATGATATAATGTAATCAATACTGACCCTTTCGGAACACCTTAGTACACCACTGGATAATGAATGGAATGATATAAGGTAATCAATACCGACCCTTTCGGAACACCTCAGTATACCACTTGATAATGAATCGGATGATATAATGTAATCAATGCTGATCCTTTCGGAACAACTATAACACATATTTGTATTTCGTTAATTGCTTTGTACATTCATCAGACCGTTATTGTTCTCATTTCGGGGCGTGTATAGGTTGTTTTGAAGTATACATTTTGCTCATAGCTGAATAACGTACTTATAATTGCTAGTTTGCCCGCAATGTTGTCTGTTTTGGGGCGTTGTCTAATTGACAATTATATCACATCTTCCAATTATGTATCTTAAAAAAATATTGTTTTTGTTAAACTGACGATATGCATAATCTTTATCATTACGCTAAATATATTTAATTCACTTATTCATTTAAGATTGCAAATTATTTTAAACTTCGACTTTCTGTCATAGCTAAGTGAAAATAAAAAAAAAGTTATGTGTAGTTTATCCAACAAACACATACATATACTTTCAACTTACTCTCCTTCAGTTCATTTGAAGCAACTCTTAATGGTTGATATATCTCTGCTTGCGACTGTTGTGTTTTCTATTTCATCTGCCAGTTCTGCATATACAGAGTCTTCTCGGAGAGCTTTGATAAATTCAATAAATTCATGTTCACTTTCATGCAAAAGTATGTCCATTAATTTCCTGTTCTTTTGTATTTGTGCTGGACAAGCATTTATCATTTGACTATCAGCTATGGTCAACACATCACGTGATATCAGATGATCGACTATTTTCTCATGCTGTATACTGTCAATGATGTTTGAGTAGTTCTTTTGTAGACGAACTTTATACATCGGAACAGTCCAATTTGACAACCCTACAAATGTTTTACAATTTTAATTATCGCCACGTCTACTTGTATATCATGAATAAATAAGCATAAATAAGTCTGGATTGAAAACAACGTTCAAACCTATGATTGTGTTGGATAAAAACCGCAATTTTTATACGTGTGCATGCAAAACAAATTTCTTGGTAGAGGGGTCTAATAAATAAGCTTTATATTCATACGAGCAATCCCGCGTTTTACTCTATCTGGTAGAAGAGAGGGTCAAATACTGCATGCAGCATCATTGTTGGGGAGTAGTCCTTTCAATGAAAATATTTTCTGAAAAAATCTATTTGAATTCAAAACTGTGCATGTGGAATAGTGGAGTTCTTATTGTATGTTCTATTAAAATGTGAAACAATATGAATCACTGTATAATGATTTGGGCAACTGAATACTTAATTGTACAAGCCTAATCACGTATCAAACCTGTTGTGTTGTCTACCTTACAGGAATCAGGATATACACAATAAGACACCATACCTTTGGAAGGCTTGATATGAAATAAACACATGTATTTTACTTTTTTAGTTCGTTTTTTTTTTGTGTGACTTGACCTCAGCAGTACTAAACAATATGTAATATCTAAACTTAACCAATGTGATTTGTTATGTATTACACATAAATTTGGTTTCTTCTTGATATACATGATGTTAAAGTCAATATTAGCATTGACAACGTAGAACAAGTAATTGTAATAGCTCATGTGTTAAATATTCCATGACACAAATTATGTTAAAGTCAACAGTAAAGTTCACAACATAGACCAAGTAATTGTAATAGCACACGTGCTCAATATGCAACACGAACATGATGCAAAATCTTACTAAAGCCATTCATGCGTAAAATGAAGGTCAGCAGTGACCTTATCTTTAGTGAATAATCCTCACCAAACCAGGTGATTCAAGTGAATAAGTAGGTTGCCTATATCTTAGGCAGACCACACAATTGACCCAGGATGGCGGAACAAAATAATTGCGTTGCCTATATGTTGGGGCAGAGCACACAATTCACTCAGAACTGAAGAACAATATAATTGTGTTACCTATATCAGTATTTGTATAAGATGTAATAATCAACATGAATACTACATCAATGTAATACAAAACACTATTCAATTTGTATTTGTATTTAAATAAACCAAACAAACACCAAAACCGGTCATACCTTTATTTTCCATGTTTTCAGTATATACTAATGCTGCACTTGAGGCTTCTTCATGTGATTCACATTTCAAATCATTTGCTAGATCTGTGTATCCACTTGTTCGTAGTGCATCAACAAACACAGAATAGGTAGGCTCTCCCCTCTTGTTCACTACTTCAAGTAATGCTTTATTCTGATCATCTTGTCTGACAGGTTGTTCAATGCTTCGTCTGTCATCTGATGATATTACCAAATGTGACATCATATAATCTAAAATCTGACTGATTTGTATGTCGTGTATGATTCTCTCTGGAATGTGAAACATACATACAAACTTATAGAAATGTGAAACATACATACAAACTTATAGATAAGACTGAACAACACGAATACATCTATCATTATCAACATATATTATCTTTTTTTTCTAATGTTTATCACATTTTAGTCTGATTTCGTTATTCAAAAGACTAATGAACTCGATAAAAACCATTCTCAGTTTTATTTTGATAATTGTTCATGTGTTTATATATGTAATGTTGATAAATATGATTACAAACTGTTCATTCGCTAAATATACGTGTTTTTCCCTGTTTTGCATAAATCAGACTTTATAACGATCAATGATTGATGACGAACTAGGATTCCAGTGCCCGTTGACAGACTGATATGCACACATTAACTTATCCAATATTCCTTCTTCTGCTCTTGTTTAAGATATCACGTCCCATCAAACTATATGATTGCCAGGAGTAACCATACAGCTGCTTGTTATATTGTTTAAGGTATCACGTCCCATGAGACTTTATGATTTCCAAGAGGAACAATACAGCTGCCTGTTATCTTGTTTAAGGTATCACGTCCCATGATACTTTATGATTGCCAGGAGGAACAATACAGTTGCCTGTTATCTTGTTCAAGATATCACGTACCATGAAACTATATAATTGACGGGAGGAACAAAACAGCTGCCTGTTCTCTTGTTTAAGATATCACGTTCAATTAAACTATAATGATAGCCAGGAGGAACAATACAGCTACTTGTTATCTTGTTTAAGGTATCACGTACCTTGAAACTATATGATTGACAGGAGGAACAAAACAGCTGCCTGTTATCTTGTTTAAGATATCACGTACCATGAAACTATATGATTGACCGGAGGAACAAAACAGCTGCCTGTTATCTTGTTTAAGATATCACGTACCGTGAAACTATATGATTGCCAGGAGGAACAAAACAGCTGCCTGTTATCTTGTTTAAGATATCACGTACCGTGAAACTATATGATTGACAGGAGGTAAAATACAGCTGCCTATTATCTTGTTTAAGGCCATGAAACTATATAATTTCCAGGAGGAACAATACAGCTGCCTGTTATCTTGTTTAATGTTGCGTAATCATTGTTTACTAGTGTTATGTGATCTGGTTTTTTGTCTTTGTCTTAACAAGTTTGCTTTTGAGTTTGAAGTTGGTTCTCTTATATCTCGTTGTTTTTAAATTGGCAATATTTCTACCAATGTTTAATATGTTGTATTATACCATATGCTGGCAACAATATTTAACCGATGTTCAAATATATTTTTTTAGAGAATCTTACTGAGCATAGAAACTGAAGGTTGATCAAAGAAACTAAATAATGGCTAAGTGATACGAAATCAAGGCCAAGTTATCTCAGTCATATAGATTATATATTATCTTATACTATATCAATGATCCTACAATTACCAAAATGAGTTGGGTGAAGCCAATTATAGGTATCGTTTGGCCTTTATTAACAAATACTGTTTATTCCGCGATAAAAGTCCCCGACATGTAAAATAATTGAATATGCGGCAATTCAATTTAAACAAAATAACCAGCAGTCTCATTTATGAAAAAGCAATTAAAGCAAAACAAATATAGTTGACATATAGTTTAAGTAAGAAAGAAACCTTAGCATAGAAACTTAAGTTTGACCAAATAAACAAAATCATGCCTACGTGATCCCAGTCACATAGACAATGTTGCCTTATAACATGACAATCAGGGGTCACCTTACAGCGTCAATTTAAACAAAAAAACCAACATCCTTATTTATGACTAATCAATTAAAGAAAATCGAATATGACCATAACCAACAGTTATTAGATCTAGAACAAACAAAACAAAGGCAAACATGTGTTTCAAAAAAACCCTACCTATTCTAATTTTTTTTAGTTTGAAGGTCGTTCTTTTGTATCTTGTTGTTTTTAAATTGGCAATATTTCTACCAATGTTTAATATGTTGTATTAAACCATATGCTGGCAACAGTAGTTAACCGATGTTCAAATATAGTGTTTATAAAGAAACTTACTTAGCATAGAAACTGCAGGTTGATCAAAGAAACTAAATAATGGCTAAGTGATAACAGCCACATATACAATGTTGTCTTGTAACATAAAAATACGGAGATGTGGTAATTATCCAAATTACGTAAGTTTAGGCAACTATATGTCACCGTACAACGTCAATTTAAACAAGAAAATTAACAGTCTAATTTATGACAAACCATTTAAAGAAAAAAAAACAAATATGACGAAATAAACCAATATATGTTCAGTGATACAAGGTAAGGGAGGTAATTTTATAGCAAACTTTCAGTAGGAATGCAAGTTAACTATAACCAGTAGTTATTAGATCTAGAACACAAAATACATGTGTTTCTGAAAACCTAACCTATTCCATTTTTAAGTGCTTGCCTCAAAACCTTGGAGCAAACACTAATAATGCAAGACCGTGTTTCCTGTTTAAAACAGTCAAAGACTTTTAAAACCATGAATGTTTTGTCTACCTTCCTACATCTCAAACATAAACAGTTAAACGTAAAAAAAAGTATGATTATATTAGGCCTTAGGAAGCTATCAGTAGGTATTTAACGAGCAGTTCAACTTTAAAATAAACTACAGTAAAGTGCAATAGACTGAAACAACAGGTCAAAGACAGCATTGAAAGAAATAACAAATCATGGACAAGAAGAAGAACAAAAAAGTACAAAGAAACAATTTACAGTCTACAAAAAAAAACACAGACACCTAAGGACTGCGCAAAATTAAACCCGGGAAAATCGGGATGATCACATGTGCACTGGAAGGGTAAGCAGATCATGTTCGACTGATGACACACATCGCGCTGCTGATGGCATGTTACAGTTCTGCGACAAATAACACCAAGTGATGTCAAATGGGTCAGACAGAGAAAGAGAAACTTGACCAATAGACAGATGTTTGGGAAATGGATTATTATGTCAGAATGTACAAACCTGCCACTTCCTCTTTTAATCTTACTTCCACTTCCTCCTCTATTCCTACTTCCACTTGTTCCTCTAATCCTTCTTCATATGTTAAGAATGATAAAACTCGAGACAAGTGAAGGCGATGAAGAGCCCGTTCTAAAACTTCATATGTAGCTTCTGGAAGTCTCCTCCATTTGTTAAGGACCTCCTCTGTTTGGCTACGAAGATTTGTCACATGGTTGTTTTCAATCTGCTGCATCTGAACAACCGTAAGTCCAAGTTCTATTCCAAGCTGGAATGTTTTAATACCAATATGATTCGGCAATTGCTGTATATTGGAATCTGATGGTCTAAGTTTCAACTTATCTCCTGGTTGATCTAAAATACATATGACAAGTTTACTATGATAATTAGCTACTAGTATTAATAATTTATAATTTATAATGTAGGACCATAAAATCAAAATAATATTTGTGTAGGACCATAATTGTTGCATACTTTTTGTGTCGGACCATACACTCCTCATACTATTTGTATAGGACCTGAATGGCAACACACTATTTGTGTAAGAACTAACTATCATCATAATATTTGTGTTAGGCCCTATTGTCATCAAATTATATGTGTCGGCCCCTAATGTCATAATGATATTCGTGTAGGACCTAATGACATCACACTATTTGTGTAGGACCCTAATGTCCTCATACTATTTGTGTAGGACCCTAATGTCCTCATACTATTTGTGTAGGACCCTAATGTTATCATATTATTTGTGTAGGACCTTAATGTCAACATACTATTTGAGTAGGAACTAAATGGCATCATTCTATTTGTGTAGGACATGAATGGCATTTTAATATTGGTATAGTGCTTTTAGGTCATCATACAATGTATGTACGACCTCAATGTCGTCAAAATATTAGGAGTCATTCTCTGTAAGCATCAAAATCATGTGGAAATGACAAGTCACAGAATTGGTTCAAAATTTGTAAAAATGTTCTAACAATTGATATAAACTGAAATATACATGAATTTTCACTTAAAATTTTGCGGTTGCTATGGTAACCGCTTGAACACTTTTTGGTCATTTTTTGTAAGTAAAAAAGGCTTAAAATGTTCAATTACTCTTGGATGTATATGGCCTTTTAGAGAATAAAAAAGAAAATTGTGTTTGTTGTTATGACTAAGTTTGGTTATGACATATTTAAAAAATGCATTTAGAAAAATATATTATTCAGCAGTTTGGTCAAGAACCTAATCCCAAAAAGGGTCAAATTCCTTGTGTATTGGGAGTCCTTTTTTACCATGTTTTGAAAGCTTTGAGATTTTTCAACCCAGATTTTCCTGATATGGCTAAAATAATTTTTTAATAGTCTAACCATTGCTTAATCAAAATACAAAAAATTGAGAGGGGTATATTTGAAAATTTTGCAAAATTCTATTTTTCGAAATCATGGTTTTTTGAAAAAACTGTTTTTAATATTGTTACAAATAGAATACTGAAATTAACACGAATGCTTTTTTTTGTCTGGAAATACTTAATCCTGCTCTAAGAAAAAATAAAAGTTCTCAAATTAAATATAACAACTGCTGGATTCTTAAATCTCAATTAAAAGCCCCTTTCAGTACACCAACATTTGGCGGTAAATGATTCTCTCTAGATTTTTCATGCATTTAACATTGGCACTTTTTTCTTTTAAAAACAATGAAAACATTACAAGGATTTTATAAGATTTTAAAATATAGCTTTTTAAACTATATGTAATATAACTATGAAAAGAAAAGTAGGGGTAAGTGGGCAAAATATTTTAATGGCACTACATGGATAAAACCAGAGGATTCTGAATATGTGACGAAAAAGTCAACAACAATAGTAGCGAACATCCACAGCTAAAGACAGTGAAGTATATATTTTACAAGCATTAACACATTCCCAAAACTTGCTCAAGCAAAATGGAGAAAGGAAAAGGAGGACTCTATGCATGGTATACAGGGCAATTGGTACACACCAAATGTAGACCATTCAAAGAAGAGGTCGGGTCGAGCAGTACCTGCTGTGAACCTGGAGGACAAATAAAATGTTCTAAACGCCTGTCAGAAAGAGACATACTTTTGACACGAAAACAATATGGAAACGTTTTACTGTATGAGCTCGGTAAGTAAAAACTATTTTTTCCTGAAAATATTGATGTGGGGGTGGGGACGAGGAACTGGACCCTTAACCATGTTAACCGAGATCCCCATTATCATTGAAACCTGTAATACAGAACCAAATTTATGAGTTTTTGTATTAGCCGTTAGTATATAAACAGTGTCTTATAAACTCGAATTTATGAATATTGAATAGATATATCATGTTATGGAGGGGCATTTCCGAAAAAAAACTGTCGAGGGACTGTAAAATTTCCCCAGCCGCTAGGCAAGGGAAATTTGGTCCCAAGACTGTTATTTTTCGGAAATACCCCTCCATAACATGATATATCTGTTTAATTACACCGAATAGATTTTGATTGAAACTCTCTGTACTGGTGAAAGGAAATATTTTTTTTACTAGTGAGATTTTATTCATAAACATAATTTGGAGGATAAGTAGAAACTATCATAATACCGCGGGAATTATACATGGACTTATATTCACTCGTGTTAATATGTCTTTTGATTGAGTTAAGCCATTTCAATTGATATTTTATAGTGTGTCTTTCTGTGTTGTGGTGTTACACTATTGTTTCAGATAAGGGTGAAGGTTTGGTACCATTAAAACGTTTGAACCCGCTGCAATTGTTTGCACCTGTTCTAAGTTTGTTGATGTGGTTCATAAGTGTTCCTCGTTTCACGTTTTTTTTATATAGATTAGACCGTTGGTTTTCCCGTATGAATGGTTTCACACTATTAATTTTTGGGACCCTTTATAGATTGCTATTCGGTGTGAGCTAAGGCTCCGTGTTGAAGACCGTACTTTGACCTTTTACGGTTTACTTTTATAAATTGTGACTTAGATGGTGAGTTGTCTCATTGGCACTCATACCACATCTTCTTATATCTTCTTATACGCGTTAGCGCTGTCTTTATGTAACGTCATATCCGAATAATTTTGGAGGGAAGAGGCTCGCAAGGGTAAAAAAGGAATTTCCAAAATGGCAAATACCACGGCATAGAGGGGAATTTTGAGGCAAATACACCGACAGTGGTAAAAAACATGCAAATTCGTTTGAAATGTGAAAAAAGGTTAGAATATGCGAAAAAAACTCTGGCTACCAACCAATCAAAATACAGCATTCTCATTAACATATAAGGTGTAATTGTATATTGTAAGGGGTACATGTCCAACTAACAGTTTTCATCTGTATTTGAACACAATTTCAAGATTCATTAGACAATGTTAAGTTGTTTTGGTTTGGTCTATTTCTCAGATACATGTACACGTACTATTACCAATAGGGCCACTGTATTTTGTGTATGGGATAATTGTCAGGTGTACATGTTCGATTGGCAGGTTTCATCTGACCTCGGACTCATTTTTCTTGGTTATTGGACAATTTTTTTGTTTTTGTGTTTTGATCTATTTTGAAGATATTATAGCAATATATCAATTATATTAAGTGTATGGAACAATTGTGAGGTGTAAATTTCTGTCTGGCAGGGTTCATATGACCTTGACATCAGTTTCAAGTTTTATTGGTCAATGATTTTTTTTGTAATTTCTTCAGTTTAGTAGATACTTTTACCAATAAGACAACTATATTTGGTGTCTGGAATTGTTCGAAGATGAACATGTCTATCTGGCAGGGTTCAAGTGCCCTTGACCTCATTTTCATGGTTCATTTGTGGTTTGTAGAGAAGAATTTTACATATCCGGGCCGTAAGACTTGTGGTTAAGCGTGAAGACTTAGAGTTATGCCACTTTACAAATTGAAGAATTGCTGAATTTTTTGTTTCAGTTCTCTAACTTAAGTTTGCCTCGACCAAATGTTATGAAACTTATACACAATACTTATTACCACACAACTCATTTCAAGTACAGATTTGGGTAGTGTCACATTTATGGTTCTTAAGTTATGTCCCTTTATGACTTCATATGATATGCAATTTGGGGCATCATCTGTGTCCCATAGACACATTCCCCATTTATTTAAATAATGAAAAAATGTTGCTTTCACTTTACACCAAATTATACATGAGTACCAAACCATTTATGTATACTTACATCTATATAATATGATGCTTACACGATTTTGAATTACAGTTTTATTTTTGTAAACTTCCATCAAGTTAAGTTATCAAAACTTATGTTTTGATAGCTATAGTTTATATGTTTAAGAAAAAATTGCGACACCTATGTAAAATGAAAAGGCAGCTAATTCAAACCTTGAAATTCAGTCATTCATCATAATGTAACCAGTTTCCAACAAATTGCATGCAAAATGTATATTTGAGTTGTCGAATCAGGGAAAATATGAAAAAAGTTAAAGGACCAAGAGAATTTTTTGTTATTATTTTTTTTTTTATCATTTTTCGTATTTAAACATGATATTCATATCTAATTATCATTGACTAAAGGTATGTAAAGTATCAGAATGTGTGTAGTTTATTTTCATATCATTATTTGATCATAACTGATCTTTTCATATAAAAATGATTGCATTAATAACATTTACATGCAGATTTTTTTTTCTAAGATTTGAAAAAAAAATCAAAAAATTCAAGTGACCTTTTTTCAATCAAAATTAAAAAAAAAACTAAAAATATACCCTCTGAGATTTTTTTGTCAAGAATGCATCAAATACAATATTTCTTAATGGTGATATTCGTTTATGCGACAAAATCTGGAATAAAAAATTTTGTGGCCATAAAAATGGGTTATTTTGTGAATTTTTGCTAATCTTGATTTTTAAAAAAACATCCAATTTTAAAATTCAAAATTTTTACTTTAGATGAAAGAACTTTAAAAAATTTCATATATATTTTAAAACACTAATATATAATAGGTTGATAGCAAAAGAAAAACCGGGGATATATGTTTCCATTCTGTTACAAAAAAAGTGGTAAAAACAGGAAAAAATGCACTTTTCATCATGCTTTTTTGATGTTTTTCGAGCAAATTTAAAATAACTTGTTTCCATGGCAACCAACGCTTCAACTTTTGAAATGATTATTATTTTTGTTGTCAGTGCACCATGACAAACCCATGATATGAAAATAAAGGAAATCATGGCGTATGCATTTCTCATTTTCTTTGAAATTCTTTGATGCCTACAGAGAATGACTCTTAAGTGTGTAGGACCTTAATGTCATACTAATATTTTTTAGGACCCTTATGTCATCATGATATTTGTGAAGGACCTTTAAGGCATCATACTATGTGCGTGGGATCTTTATGTCATCCTACCACTAATGTAGGACCCTAATGTCATATAAATATTTGTGCCCTAATGTCATATAAATATTTGTGTAGTACCATAATGTCATCATAATATTGGTACAGGACCTGAGTGTCATCTTAATATTTGCGTAGGACCATAATTTCCTCAAAACATGTGTTTAACACCGCAATTCCGTCATAATTTTTGCGTAGGATCTTTATGACATCATACTATTTGTGTAGGACCTTAATGTCATTATAACGTCTTGATTGACGAGTTTTTCAACAAAAAAAACCTTTAAACAAATGTAGTTGTAAACTTTGCTTTAAAAATCATCGCTTACCAAACTCTTTTTTAACCTCTCTTGAAATCTGAAATATCAAATGTAAAGCAACAATTACACATAAATCTTTATAACAATAATATCTTATACCTGTTAATTATCATCGAATTGTGTTATTTTATACTTCAGTCCATACAAATCTATATTGTAACCAAGAATTATCACAGAATTTCAAATATTTTGATGGAGGAATATTGTGCCTGCAATCACAAACGTGTGTATTACAAAAAGTTCCATCATGTGTAGTGAACTGGCATAATCTTAAACTATTAACGTAAACTTTCAATTAATATCTTAAACAAATAAACCAAACTTTGACTCCAACTATAAATGTGACCCTCTTTAGCCTTACCGCATGTTTTTGTTTTTTTATCTATTTATTTCAGTCAATGTATTAGCAAACATTGATTTAAATACAATTAAAAATCATTGAAGGTCTTTCCACCCGTAAAGATCTATTTTGATATGAAAATAGTAAAATTTGGTTTAAAATGTCATTTCCAGCGTCAAATGATAGCTTATTGTACGCTGAATCCAAAAATATATGGTTTCTATACATTTTTTTTAAATAAGGGAGATCCTATTTTCCTTCCGGTTTGAAAAATGTTACTTCCGGTATTATTTGAATGTTTACTTGACACTGATTCCAAAAATATATGGTTCTATATACTGTTATATCAAATCAGTACAAAAAATAGCTACTTCGGTTTACGCAAGGTCATTTCTGGTTGGCTTTTCCAAGGTTAAATGGCTTGCAACATTATGCTAAAAGTCCCATGGCTTTATCATGTATACATATGAGGTAAAAGCAAAGGTCTTAATTATATATGGTTAATGAGTTATATCACCATACGCGTATTTTAAATACAAGAGGGGAGAACATTCTTATATAATGATAGCGTATCCTTTAAGCCAAAATGTAAGTGTTATGACATGTCGCAACTAACAATTTAGTAAATATATGTTGTCGATATCTTGAATGGTGTTTGAAAATAGTGAAAATAAGCCAAAATCAAAATTTAGAATATGACCTTGACCTTTGACCTTGACCATATTTTCTTTTTTTTTGGACCAAGGACCTCAAATCAAAAGACCCTAGGTCTCTATCACTTATGGTTTACCAGTTACAATTACATTTTACTTATTTTAAATACAGAAGGGGAAATAACTCTCATATGGAGTCTCCGGACCGTTTCGGCAAAAATTATTTTTAAGATCCTAAGGATATAGCGAGCAAATTGGTAATATAATAATTGTCGTAATTTTTAACGGTTGCAAAGGAGATGAACACACAAGAAACACAGTGTTAGGGGAGATAACTCTTACAATAAAAAGAGTACGGCTAAACGGGGTCAGTTTCAAAAGCGCAATAACTGTTCGATATCATATGCAAAAAATCTAAGCGACATCATGCGAAACCACAAAGCACCGTATATGGCGAAAGAAGAAAAACAAAATAATAATATTTAAAAATTAATTGTTCAGAGATCAATTAAAGGTCTTTCCTCAAAAAAAATACCCAATGTATTTTAATATGAAAATAGTAAAATTCGTTTAAAAATGTAATTTCCAGCGTCAATTGATAGCTTATTGTACGCTGATTTCAAAAATGTATGGTTTCTATACAATATTTTTTAAATAAGGGAGATCATTTGTTACTTCCGGTTTGAAAAATATTACTTCCGGTAATATCCAAACGTTTAATTGACACTGATACCAAAAATATCTGGTTCTATTAACTTTTATATTAGTTAAGTACAAAAATAACTACTTCCGGTTCACACAAGGACACTTACGGCTGGCATTTCCAAGGTTAAATGACTTGAAACCTAATGCAAAAAGTCCCATAGTTTTATCATGTATATATATGAGGTAAAACCAAAGGTCAAAATCTAGAACGTCAATGTAACTTATGACCTTGGGCCCAATTTCAAGTTCATCAACCAAGGACCTCAAATCAAAAGACCCTAGGTCTTGATTATATTTGGTTCATGAGTTACGACATGTCGCAAATAACAATTAAGTAATAATGTGTGGTCGATATTTTTTATCGTGTTTGAAAAGAGGTGAAAATAAGCCAAAATCAAATTTAGAAATGACTTTGACCGTTGACCTTGACCCTATTTTCTTCCTTTTTTTTTGGACAGACGACCTCAAATTAAAAGACCCTAGGTCTCTATCACTTACCAATTACAAATTCATTTTACTTATTTTAAATACAGATAGGGAAAAAACTCTCATATGGAGTTTCCGAACCGCTTCGGTCAAAATTATTCTTAAGATCCTGAGGATATAACGAGCAAATTGGTGACATAAATTTGTCATAATCTTTTACGGTTGCGAAGGAGATGCGTACACAAGAAAAATAGTGTTTGGGGAGATAACTCTTACAATAAAAAGTGTTTGGTTAAACAGGGTCAGTTTCAAAGTCGCAATAACTGTTCGATATCATATGCAAAAAATCTAAGCAACATCTTGAGAAACGAAAAAGCACCGTTAGAAAAAAAGTGGCGGAAGAAGAAAAGAATAATACTTGAAGGACTTTCCACAAAAAAAAATGTATTTTAATATGAAAATAGTAAAATTCGGTTTAAAATGTAATTTGAAGCGTCAACTGAAAGCTTATTGTACGCTGATTCCAAAAATATATGGTTTCTATGATATACATATTACTTCCGGTTTAAAAATGTTACTTCCGGTATTATTCTAACGTTTTATTGACACTGATACCAAAAATATCTGGTTCTATAAACTTTTATATTAATAAGTACAAACAATAGCTACTTCCGGTTTATACAAGGTCACTTCCGGTTGGCTTTTCTAAGGTTAAATGGATTGAAACCTAATGCAAAAAGTCCCATGGCTTTATCATGTAAACATATGAGGTTATAGCAAAAGTCAAAATCTAGAACGTCAATTTAACCTATGACCTTGAGCTCAATTTCAAGGTCATCAACCAAGGACCTCAAATCAAAAGGCCCTAGGACCTAATTATATTTGGTTCATGAGCTATATCACGATATAAATATTTTTAAATAAAAGAGGGGAGAAAACTCTAATTTGATGTAAGTGTACCCTTTAAACCAATATGTATGTGTTACGACATGTCGCAACTAACAATTAAGTAAAAATATGTTGTCGATACATGTATCTTATAGCGTGTTTGAAAAGTGGTGAAAATAAGCCAAAATCCAAATTTAGAAATGACCTTGACCGTTGAACTTGACAGTATTTTCTTTTTTTTTTTGACCAAGGACCTCAATTCAAAAGCTCCTAGGTCTCTATCACTTATGGTTTACAAGCTACAACTGCATTTTTAAAACAAAAGGGAAAATAACTCCATATGTCGTTTCCGGACCGTTTCGGTCAAAATTATTTTAAAGATCCTGATCCACGAGCAAACTGGTGAAATAATTTTGTCGTAATCTTTACTTGTTGCGAAGGAGAATTGTACACAGTGTTTGGGGAGATAACTCTAACAATAAAAAGTGTACGCCTTTACAGGGTCAGTTTCAAAATCGTAATAACTGTTCGATATCATACGGAAAAAAATCTAAGCGACATCTTGCGAAACAAAAAAGAACCGTCAGAAAAAAGTTGCGGAAAAAGAAAAAAAAAAAAATAATAATAATCAGAAGAAAACCATAAGGGCTTTCCACAGAAAAGTGGAAAGACCTAATAATCATTAGAAATCCAATAGGTCTTTCTTCAGAAAAGTGGAAAGACCTATTAAGTCAATCGTCGATTTCAACGATGTCGACTTATGTGTAACTCATATTATGCTAAACCGAATTTTGCTTTCTACAACGTTTCACTATCTATTATGGTTTCTACACCAATTGGAAATATCATCAGTCAAGGGCAATAACTCCTATAAGAGGTCAATGGAAAATCATGGCTTTCAAACTTATTTGAAGACCTTATTTTCTTGAATATGTTTACAAGTTAAAGCTTCCCTAACCTTATGATTTGTTTCTATAAATAAATGGATAAAATTCATATTCTAAGGACAATAAAAACCTACACGTGTTCAATTGACGATTTGCCAGGTTTGATTAAGGGGGCTCGCGGGTACAAATGTTTGCGCCTACTGCACAAGATTGCGCAATGGTATCGTAAGTCATACCTGTTGTCGTAATTGGCAGTAACAATTAATTTTGACTATTTTGTAATTATTATTTAACTGAACATTTTGACAATTGCAAATGGTATCTCTTTTTTTTGAAAAAAATGAATAAAAGGACAAAAATAATCATTCAAAGGCAAAACTGCTACATGTATAAGGGGTCAATTGATGATTGCAATGTTGACTGACTTATATATCTTATTGTTGTTATCATTGTTACTGTTTGTGTTTTTCTCCAGATTGATTATAGGTTTCAAAAAAAATAACCAACACAACAATTGACAGGGACAAAGGGAACATCTAGCGATAGTTTATAGTTACACCAAAAACTGAATTATGCAACAAAATAAAGCTAAAAATGATTGATGTAATTAGACAAGCAATATTTCTAAAAAAAAACAACGTCAAAAAACCAGTTCACAAGCGATAAAATGTTCTCGATGCTGACCAAATCATAAAATATTAAAAATCAAAAAGATACAATAGTTACTTATATCAAATTAAAATCAAAATTCAGGAATGGTAACAGTATAAAAATTCAGCAATCCTGTTATTATTAACCCCTATCTTTCATAGCTAAAAAAAGAAAAGCGTATTTCAATTAAATTTAAGTGTAAATATTGTACGTCAAAACTAAGTTCAAAGACTATGAAATTGTTATAATGCAACATTGACAATAATTCCAAATCATCTATGAACTTTTGAGAGAAATCTTCAACGATCAAAATTAAGCAAAATGTGGTGTGATATAACATGTAAATCATCAAATGTGTACCTGACATAGTTTGTGAATGTTTATATCTTCATCCTCCAGACTCTGTTGCAACTGCTTAAATGAGGCATATTTTGAACTATCCTTCCAATCATATAGAGCGTTTATCTTTATATCAAACCCTCCTCTCTTGCTGGATTCGTTTATGATGTCCCATTGCAGAGCTGGTTCGACTTCCTGTAAACGCATATATATTTTCCTTGTGTCTTCGTGTGTTAGTTTAGCTGCTAGGCGTCCAAGGTGTTTGTCCGCGGGCTGGCGGTCTAACCATACTTTGTCTAAGCCTGTTAAATAGTATAGGTCAGGTATGCCAATATTAGCATTACTACATTTGATCCACTAGTGATTTATGAAAACTCAAAGTAGATCATGACTGAGTGGGCGGGGTTAAATAGTAGTGCTTACACATTTAGATACTATTCATATCAGTTGGTATGTAATTTTTGGTTTCTGTATTATGTATATCAAAAATATATGAATCCTTGTACTGGTTTCGTTGATTGATAGCGTTGAATTTTGTCAGTTTTTATGGACGCCCTCTTTTTGACTTTGCTGTGAGTACTGCATGTTTGTTAAATTTTTCATTCATACGGGTTAACTTATCAAATATCCGGTTTTCCCCTTTATTCATATAGATTGACATGCTTGTAAGTAGCTGCAAGATGATTATTTTACAGATTCAAAAAAAAAAAAAAATAAAGGATGTGTCTGTGGGACACAGTTGATACCCCCGCTTGCATGTAATTTAATACACGGACATACCGCAAGACTGATAAAGTGACTGTGTTATGTAGTAATACGCATTGTGTTTACGTTTCATAACATTTGGTTGAGGCAAACTGAAGTTAGATAACATGAACAAAATCCAGGACGTACGGACGGACGAACAGACGGACCAGGACAACACTTAATGTTCCCTCCCCTGAAAAAACATTATTTTGTAGATGTTATACCATCATTTAAAATATTACTTTCGTTCAGATATTTCTTACCAGGGCAATCTTCAGGGCATCTGTCATCTTTTGTATGTAACTGTAAGATAAGTATAATTTAAGTCATAAAACACATACAAAATTATGACGTCATAACACGTAATTACCCGGATGTGTACTGGTTGACCATAGCTTTTGTACAAATCAGGATATTGCTGTTCCGTTTTGAACAGTTTCATTTTTTTGTTCACATCAATGGACCTTTTTTTATAGTGTCATCAATATTTGTCGCCTCAGCCAAATATTGTATGCTGAGCTATAAAACTGTACCGTTAAGTGTGCTTGTATGCATAAATTTTGCCTGAAATGGTTTGTATAAATCCAAATTCTTAACTATTCCTTTCCGATATTATTTTTTCTGATTTGGTTTTGCAACTAGATGCTTCAAAGAGCCTGTGTCGCTCATAGGATCTATGTGAATTTTCAACATTGAACACAAGAAAACAAGAAAATAATTCCAGACTTGGATTTATCTTGTATTTCTGATATTTTTGTTCTGTGTTCTTTTTTCAGTGTATCTCTATCTTTTATAGTTTTGCCCATACAATACATGATAAAAAAAATGTCATTCAAGGGCAATACTTTGTATTAGAAAATTTTGTTCGGTTTGTCTAGTTTCAAGATCTTGTCTTTGTAATCATTTGTGCTCCCTGAAGTATATGTCATATTTTTGGCCCAATGTCTGAGAAGGTAAAAAATCTTCATTTACGCGTAGTTATTCTAATAAGGTGTCAACTGATAATTCGACTATGCTGACCTATGTTTTAATCTGGTGTTTTTATTTCGCTTTTATCAGTTTTTCTTTGTCGATTATAATTGATACATAACATGTATGACATTTGTAAGACATTATTTTTGGAAGATATGTTGTGTTTACATATTTATTTGATTCGACTGTACAAAAAGTTCAAGTACCAAGCTAAGTCAGCATTATTTACAACATGTATTATTTCTTTCCGGTTTGTTTGAATGGTACATACAACTCTTCTTTAAGGCAGATAGATGCTAAATTGAATTTGCTGATACATTAACATTTGCATATAATTATTATTAAAAGTATAGACCAATATTTTCTGCTGTTTTACAATCAATAATGGTGGAACACATCCTATTTACCTTAAATAAGGAGCGTATTTTATTTAACGGTGTGGCACTGTTTAGCTTGATCTACCTAATATGTAAAATTTATTTAGTTTGTTATACAATTTATGGACAGTTTCGTGGAAATACTTTCGGCTTTTTGGTGTGAAAGTATGGTGTCATTACAACTAAATTAATGTATGAGAACAACCAGAATACTAAATAGAAAAACAAAATCTTGATTTTGCTTTAGGTTCTTTCTATCTTATTGATCAATAATCTCTTATCCTTGTTTTGTAAAATTTCATGAAAGTTTGACAACATAGTTTAAGTTTTAAAATCTTAACCCACACACCGTACGTAAATGTTGACTGCAGACAAACCGTTGTTCATCTACTAGTTAGCTATTGCAGAATGAGGGGATCAACATTTTACTTTACAGAGTGGTGTCTTGATTAAAAGGAAGCTTAGTAAATGTTTCCATGATATTCATGAGGACATGATATATGGTTCATGATTTTTTGGAAATATTATCAGGTATATATGAGAACTACAAAGACTGCATTAATAGTAACAAAAAAAATACGTCCATGTATTGGTGAACAAGATATAGTTTGTAATTATTCGTGTGGATGTACAGGAGGTACACCTCATTGTATTGAACGTTCCCTTTGTCTTTATCGAAAGCGGTCTCATGATGATACAAACATCTTGCATTTAAACCCTATATTTAAAATTTAAGCCATTAAGTGATCAGAATTGCCCATTTAACACTTAGTATCAGGTCTGCTTAAACGCATTGTAAATAATTTATTATTAAAGATAAATGGATTGCCCATCATCTGATATGAACATAACTACCACTTATTTTAAACAGCGAAATCATTATTAAAATATAGATACCTTGTCTGCAAACCATATTGACACAGCATTTGTGTTGTGTCTTGTCTTGTGTTCTGGGCATGTCCATTCCTCCTTTGATGACAGTGTATGGTCAAAAAAGCAAAGATCTGTCCCACAAACTATACCAATCTGAATGATAAACGGCACATCTCTAGTACAAGCAGAATCCTCTGAAACTGAGAAATAGAAATTGGAAATGTTCGTGATAGCATGTGTTAGGCATTCTTGAGCTGTAGATGCAATTGTTGGTACAATAGAGATTTTGTTTTCTTTGTGCGAGAGAGAAACTATGAATCTGTTTCCCTGAATGTCAAATCTCATATCATGCTCCCCGTCAATTCTTACATCAGCACTGTCTGTAAAGATCATCAGACGACTGGATTTAGCACTGACGCGTAACTTCCATATTGATATGAAGGTGGCAATGAACCTGTACAAAATAGCAGGTGGTACAACTTCCTCCTTAAACCTGTAAGCCAAATGAATGCTTCTGTCATGGTTTATCTGTTGGCTCTCTTCTCTTTTGGTACTAATCATACATGGCACCAAGAAAAAGTGTGATCCATCTTCATCGTCTTTCTGTCTGCAAAGAATGTCCAAATGAACTAGCATGTCTACTATGTAATCGTTATGTGCCCAGATCTCACGAAAACAGTCTTGCTTCCATATTTCATATAGGTCCTGTTCCAACAGTTTTCCGCTTTCTTTGAGAGCGTTTAACATTTCTTTGAGGTGCTTTGGCCAAAACTGGTCATCAGTGACAATGGAACGTAGTACATCCACCAAAAACACAGGATCTATTATAACATTATCTCTCAGGCCTGCTTCATCAAAATAGATCAGTTTTCCCAGAGCATGGTTAACCTTTAGAAACGATTTAAGCTGAGCAGGGGTTAAAGCCATTTTTTCATTTTGCTTGTTAATGTCATTCAGTTGATCCATTGTTAGTATTTTCTTGTTTTCCTCTACTTGTCTTGCTAGTTGAAATTCAAGGGGTACAAACTTTGTTGGCATCAGTTCCCCACAGCGAGGATGGTCTAATGCAACGTCAACTAGCTGTTTCTTTAATGTGGCTAGTTCTTCGTCTTCCTTGTTTCTTGCATCAACAAAGATAAGTGGTTTATATTGAAGATGTTTTTTTCCTCCATGGTTTTGAAAGAGTGCTTCGATTGAGTTTTCCAATGAACATCTCTGTTCTTCCACATCACCCTGCAATAAACATAGATTATAACATTACATAAACAGAACAGTTGTTGCAGAGTCTATTGTCTTCTATATCACCCCACAATATACATAGATCATAATGTTACATAAACAGCTCAGTTTTTGCAGAGTCTATGGTTTTCAATATCACCCTATTATATACTTTAATAAATAGTTATATCAATGAACAAAGACCAGCCACACTTAATAATACCGTTGCCTATATGTGATTTAATATCTTGTCTAGATCAGCTTTATATAACGACTTTCAATTCTAGTTGTGTATATTGATTATGCATAAACATGTTTTACTACAATTACAGGTTTATTCTATTATTTTTTTGCTAGGATTGGTTCATGGACACGCCACTCCCGACACGACTATTTATAAAAGTAAATATATAAACTCTAGCTATTTAAACTCGATATAGTATAAACAAACCTTTGACTATTTAAATTAAATACAGAGGATAACATTAAACGATACCATATTCGACGAGCGGTTAAACTTTTTTCTATTATAGTAAACCATTATTTTGGCCTAAATTGAAAATTCAGCGACTTGATGATCTAGTTTTTTGCACATAACACATTGTAACAGTAAGAATTCATTCGTTCTATTTTGGCGTCAAACTTAAACATCAGACATTTAAAAAGAAATGTACGCTTCAGAACGTAATAGAATCCGACCCAATCGAATTGACTTTTGAAAATCAAAAATTTTTGTATCACTTTCACAGGTTTTTGGTCGGGCTGTGTTGATCATTCCTAAGTTTTCTAGGTTGTGTTTCGTCTACTATTGTTTGTTAGTTTTTGTTTTTTGTCATGGCATTGCATTTTTTCGAATATTAAGTTTGAGGAACTCTTGGTGACGTTCGCTAATCTTGTAAACAGAGTGTGATACGAGAAATATTTTGGCATGCGAGAAAAAGATAAAAAGAAACAGTCATAAGAGAAACAGATCAAATATTTTATATAAAGACATGTTATTCGATAGTCTAAGGTTTTCGTTAACACCTATTATAAACATAGTTCAAAACATTAGATATACAGCTCTGTTAATTCAAAGTCTCACGTCTTTTATAACCCAATGTTCTACACATATATCACAACATTAAGATATACAGCTCTGTTATTATGGGTCTTCGTTATCCTGTATTTTAAACACAGATCAGAACCTGATACAGTAAGCTCTGATATTTAAAAGTCTCAGGTCTTGGTTAACCCCCTTTTCTAAGCATACATTTAAACATGCTACATAGCATTAAGCTGTGTTATTTCATAATATCATGTCTTTGGTATCTCGATAGTCTATGTAGGTTGGTTATTGATGTTTGTTTTAAATGTTGTGTGTATTGTACCTATATTTTCTTGTAAGATCAATATGTGACACTCTAATAAAATACTCATTATCTTATCAGATCGTTATCACTTTACTAGTATTATAAACATAGATCAAAACATTATACATACAGCTCTGTTATTTCCAGATTATAAGGTCTTCATTAACCCACTATTATAAACACAGATTAAACCATTTTAAATACAGTCCTATTATTTCAGTCGTATCACCAAATAATCAGTATTGATGGTAAGGAGGAAGGACATTGTAGAGGTATTACAGCTCTGTTATTTCAGTCGTATCATTAAATAATCAGTATTGATGTTAAGGAGGAAGGACATCGTAGAGGTATTCCAGCTCTGTTATTTCAGTCGTATCATTAAATAATTAGTATTGATGTTCATGGGGAAGGACATTGTAGAGGTAATACGGCTCTGCTGTTTCAGTCGTACCTTTAAATAATCAGTACTGATGTTAAGAAGGAAGGACATTGTAGAAGTATTACAGCTCTGTTGTTTTAGTCGTATCATTCAATAATCAGTATTCATGGTAAGGAGGAAGGACATTGTAGCGGTAGTACGGCTCCGTTGTTTCAGTCGTATCATTAACTTATCAGTGTTGATGTTCAGGAGAAAGGACATTGTAGAGGTATTACAGCTCTGTTATTTTAGTCGTATCATTAAAAAATCGGTATTCATGGTAAGGAGGAAGGACATTGTAGAGGTAATACGGCTCTGCTGTTTCAGTCGTATCATTAAATAATAAGTATTGATGGTTAAAAGTAAGGACATTGTAGAGGTTTTACAGCTCTGTTATTTCAGTCGTATCATTAAATAATTAGTATTGATGTTTAGAGGGAAGGACATAAAAGAGGTAATACAGCTCTGTTATTTCAGACCTATCATTAAATAACCAGTATTGATGTTAAGGAAGGAGGACATAGTAGAGGTATTACATCTCTGTTGTTGCAGTCGTATCATTAAATAATCAGTATTGATGTTAAGGAGGAAGGACATTGTAGAGGTATTACAGCTCTGTTATTTCAGTCGTATCATTAAATAATCAGTATTGATGTTAAGGAGGAAGGTCATCGTAGAGGTATTCCAGCTCTGTTATTTCAGTCGTATCATTAGATAATTAGTATTGATGTTCATGGGGAAGGAGATTGTAGAGGTAATACGGCTCTGCATTTTCAGTCGTACCTTTAAATAATCAGTACTGATGTTAAGAAGGAAGGACATTGTAGAAGTAGTACAGCTCTGTTGTTTTAGTCGTATCATTTAATAATCAGTATTGATGGTAAGGAGGAAGGGCATTGTAGAGGTATTACAGCTCTGTTGTTTTAGTCGTATCATTAAATAATCAGTATTGATGGTAAGGAGGAAGGACATTGTAGCGGTAGTACGGCTCCGTTGTTTCAGTCGTATCATTAACTTATCAGTGTTGATGTTCAGGAGAAAGGACATTGTAGAGGTATTACAGCTCTGTTATTTCATTCGTATCATTAACAAATCAGTATTCATGGTAAGGACGAAGGACATTGTAGAGGTAATACGGCTCTGCTGTTTCAGTCGTACCATTTAATAATCAGTATTGATGGTAAAGAGAAAGGACATTGTAGCGGAATAACAGCTCTGTTGTTTTAGTCGTATCATTAAATAATGCGTATTGTTGGTATGGAGGAAGAACATTGTTGAGGTAGTACGGCTCCGTTGTTTCAGTCGTATAATTAAAAAATCAATATTGATGTTTAGAAGGAATGACATTGTAGAGGGTTGTTTGAGACCTATCATTATATAATCAGTATTGATGTTAAGGAGGAAGGACATAGTAGAGGTTTTACAGCTCTGTTGTTTCAGTCGTATCATTAAATAATCAGTATTGATGTTAAGGAGGAAGGACATGGTAGAGGTAATACGGCTCTGCTGTTTCAGTCGTACCTTTAAATAATCAGTACTGATGTTAAGAAGGAAGGATATTGTAGAAGTATTACAGCTCTGTTGTTTTAGTCGTATCATTAAATAATCAGTATTGATGGTAAGGAGGAAGGGCATTGTAGAGGTATTACAGCTCTGTTGTTTTAGTCGTATCATTAAATTATCAGTATTGATGGTAAGGAGGAAGGACATTGTAGTGGTAGTACGGCTCCGTTGTTTCAGTCGTATCATTAAATAATCAATATTGCTGTTGAGAATGAATGACATTGTAGAGGTATTACATCTCTTTTGTTTCAGTCGTATCATTAAAAAATCAGTATTCATGGTAAGGATGGAGGACATTGTAGAGGTAATACGGCTCTGCTGTTTCAGTCGTACCATTAAATAATCAGTATTGATGGTAAAGAGGAAGGACATTTTAGCGGTATAACAGCTCTGTTGTTTTAGTCGTATCATTAAATAATGAGTATTGTTGGTATGGAGGAAGAACATTGTTGAGGTAGTACGGCTCCGTTGTTTCAGTCGTATAATTAAAAAATCAATATTGATGTTTAGAAGGAATGACATTGTATTGGGTTGTTTGAGACCTATCATTAAATAATCAGTATTGATGTTAAGGAGGAAGGACATTGTAGAGGTTTTACAGCTCTGTTGTTTCAGTCGTATCATTAAATAATCAGTATTGATGTTAAGGAGGAAGGACATTGTAGAGGTAGTACAGCTCTGTTATTTCAGTCGTATCATTAAATAATTAGTATTGATGTTCATGGGGATAACATTGTAGAGGTAATACGGCTCTGCTGTTTCAGTCGTACCTTTAAAAAATCAGTACTGATGTTAAGAAGGAAGGACATTGTAGAAGTAATACAGCTCTTTTGTTTTAGTCGTATCATTTAAAAATCAGTATTGATGGTATGGAGGAAGGGCATTGTAGAGGTATAACAGCTCTGTTGTTTGAGTCGTATCATTAAATAATCAGTATTGATGGTAAGGAAGAAGGACATTGTAGCGGTAGTACGGCTCCGTTGTTTCAGTCGTACCATTAACTTATCAGTGTTGATGTTCAGGAGAAAGGACATTGTAGAGGTATTACAGCTCTGTTATTTTAGTCGTATCATTAAAAAATCAGTATTAATGGTAAGGAGGAAGGACATTGTAGAGGTAATACGGCTCTGCTGTTTTAGTCGTATCATTAAATAATGAGTATTGTTGGTATGGAGGAAGAACATTGTTGAGGTAGTACGGCTCCGTTGTTTCAGTCGTATCATTAAAAAATCAATATTGCTGTTTAGAAGGAATGACATTGTAGAGGGTTGTTTCAGACCTATCAGTATTAATGTTAAGGAGGAAGGACATTGTAGAGGTTTTACAGCTCTGTTATTTCAGTGGTATCATTAAATAATTAGTATTATGTTTAGGGGGAAGGACATAAAAGAGGTATTACAGCTCTGTTATTTCAGTCCTATCATTAAATAACCAGTATTGATGTTAAGGAAGGAGGACATAGTAGAGGTATTACATCTCTGTTGTTTCAGTCGTATGATTTAATAATCAGCATTGATGTTAAGAAGGAAGGACATTGAAGAGATATTACAGCTCTGTTATTTCAGTAGTATCATTAAATAATCAATAGTGATGTTAAAGAGGAAGGGCATTGTAGAGGTATTTCAGCAATGTTGTTTCAGTCGTTTCATTAAATAATCAGTATTGATGTTAAGGAGGAAGGACATTGAAGAGGTATTACATCTCTGTTATTTCAGTCGTATCATTAAATAATCAGTATTGATGTTCAGTGGGAAGGACATTAAAGAGGTATTACAGATCTGTTATTTCAGTCGTATCATTAAATAATCAGTATTGATGTTCAGGAGAAAGGACATTGTAGAGGTATTACAGCTCTGTTTTTTCAGTCGTATCATTCAAAAAATCAGTATTCATGGTAAGGAAGAAGGACATTGTAGAGGTAATACGGCTGCTGTTTCAGTCGTACCATTAAATAATCAGTATTGATGTTAAGAGGGAAGGACATTGTAGAGGTATAACAGCTCTGTTGTTTTAGTCGTATCATTAAATAATCAGTATTGGTGGTAAGGAGGAAGGGCATTGTACAGGTATAACAGCTCTGTTGTTTTAGTCGTATCATTAAATAATCAGTATTGTTGGTCAGGAGGAAGAACATTGTAGAGGTAGTACGGCTCCGTTGTTTCAGTGGTATCATTAAATAATCAATATTGATGTTTAGAAGGAATGATATTGTAGAGGTATTACAGCTTTGTTGTTTTAGTCGTATCATTAACTAATCAGTAGTTATGTTTTAGAAGGAAGGACACTGTAGAGGTACTAAATCTCTGTTGTTTCAGTCGTATCATTAAATAATCAGTATTGATGTTAAAGAGGAAGGACATTGTAGAGGTATTACAGCTCTGTTATTGCAGTCGTATCATTAAATAATCAGTATTGATGTTAAAGAGGAAGGACATTGTAGAGGTATTACAGCTCTGTTATTGCAGTCGTATCATTAAAAAATCAATATTGATGTTTAGAAGGAATGACATTGTAGAGGGTTGTTTCAGACCTATCAGTATTGATGTTAAGGAGGAAGGACATAGTAGAGGTATTACATCTCTGTTGTTTCAGTCGTATGATTCAATAATCAGCATTGATGTTAAGAAGGAAGGACATTGAAGAGATATTACAGCTCTGTTATTTCAGTCCTATCATTAAATAACCAGTATTGATGTTAAGGAAGGAGGACATAGTAGAGGTATTACATCTCTGTTGTTTCAGTCGTATGATTTAATAATCAGCATTGATGTTAAGAAGGAAGGACATTGAAGAGATATTACAGCTCTGTTATTTCAGTAGTATCATTAAATAATCAATAGTGATGTTAAGGAGGAAGGGCATTGTAGAGGTATTTCAGCAATGTTGTTTGAGTCGTATCATTAAATAATCAGTATTGATGTTAAGGAGAAAGGACATTGTAGAGGTATTACAGCACCGTTATTTCAGTCGTATCATTAAATAATTAATATTGATGTTAAGTTGGAAGGACATTGTAGAGATATGACAGCTCTTATATTTTAGTCGTATCATTAAATAATCAGTATTGATGTTAAGGAGGAAGGGCATTGTAGAAGTAGTACAGCTCTGTTGTTTTAGTCGTATCATTTAATAATCAGTATTGATGGTAGGGAGGAAGGGCATTGAAGAGGTATAACAGCTCTGTTGTTTTAGTCGTATCATTAAATAATCAGTATTGATGGTAAGGAGGAAGGACATTGTAGCGGTAGTACGGCTCCGTTGTTTTAGTCGTACCATTAACTTATCAGTGTTGATGTTCAGGAGAAAGGACATTGTAGAGGTATTACAGCTCTGTTGATTCAGTCGTATCATTAAATAATCAGTAATGATGGTAAGGAGGAAGGTCATTGTAGAGATATTACAGCTCTTTTATTTCAGTTCTATCATTACATAATCAGTATTGATGTTAAGGAGGAAAGACATTGTAGAGGTATTACAGCTCTGTTGTTTCATTTGCATCATTAAATGTTTAGTATTGATGTTAAGGAGGAAGGGCATTGTAGATATATTACAGCTCTGTTATTTCAGTTGTATCATTAAAAAATCAGTAGTGATGTTAAGGAGGAAGGACATTAAAGAGGTATTACAGCTCTGGTGTTTCAGTCGTATCATTAAATAATCAGTAATGATGTTGATGTGAGGACATTGTAGAGGTATTACAGCTCAGTTGTTTCAGTCGTATCAGAATATATTCAGTATTGAGGTTAAGGTAGAAGGCCATTGTGGAGGTATTACAGCTCTGTTGTTTCAGTCGTATCATTAAATAATCAGTATTGATGTTAAGGAGGAAGGACATTGTAGAGGTATTACAGCTCTGTTGTTTCAGTCGTATCATTAAATAATCAATATTGATGTTAAGGAGGAAGGACATTGTAGAGGGATTACAGCTCTGTTAGTTCAGTCGTATTATTAAATAATCAGTATTGATGTTAAGGAGGAAGGACATTGTAGAGATATTACAGCTCTGTTAGTTCAGTCGTATCATTAAATAATCAGTATTGATGTTAGGAGGAAGGACATTGTAGAGGTATTACAGCTCTGTTATTTCAGTCGTATCATTAATTAGTCAGTATTGATGTTAAGGAGAAAGGACATTGTAGAGGTATTACAGCACCGTTATTTCAGTCGTATCATTAAATAATTAATATTGATGTTAAGTTGGAAGGACATTGTAGAGATATGACAGCTCTTATATTTTAGTCGTATCATTAAATAATCAGTATTGATGTTAAGGAGGAAGGGCATTGTAGAGGTATTTC